GTGGGGACCCTTCTTCCTGACAAGCGCCATGTGGATATTGAAGCATCACTCGCGGGTCATGCACAGTCACCAGCGCAGGCGGGTGGCGGCGCCAATGAGGGGCACGCGTGTCCATCCTCACCCAGCCTCACCCACTGACTGCCCAGCCTTCGCCAGGCCTTGGCCCACACACTCCCCTCCCTGCTCCCTCTGCCTTTGTATGAGTGATTCTAATACGCAGGCCTGTCTAAGTGGACTAACGCGTGGACTTGGGAGTGGGTCCTAGCCCATGGGGTTTGGGACTTCTTCCACGCAGCGTAAGGTTTTTAGGGCTCATTCGGTTGTAGCATGTATCCTTTTGTTGTTTTTTTGTTTTTTTGGGTTTTTTTGTTTTTGGGTCCAGTCGTGGGGCCTGAACTCTGGGCCTGGGCGCTGTCCCTCAGCTCTTCAGCTCAAGGCTAGCGCTCTACCACTTGAGCCACAGCGCCACTTCCGGCTTTTTTCTTTTTTCTTATGTGGTGCTAAGGAATCGAACCCAGTGCCTCATGCAAGCGCTCTACCACTGAGCCACCTTCCCAGCCTGCATGTATCCTTTTTATTGCTGAATTTCCTCTTGTGGATATACTGCTTTCATGTGTTCAGCAAGGGATAGGTCTGACAGTCTCTCCCTTTCATCTTCCGTGAGTAATACTTAGGAGCATCTGGAGATGTGTACTGTTTTTCTTCAGCTCATCAGTCTAGGAGTGCAGTTGTGCTGGGTCATAGGGTCACTCACCTTTTGATGAACCACCAAACTTGCACGGCAGCTGTGCACTTAGAGCATTTGTGCAAGCAGAGCAGGAGGTCCAGGTTTCTCCTTGCCAGCTCTTGTTCTTTGAAGTCTGCTCACCTTAGAAAGTGTGGTGTGCTGCTGTCTCCTTGTGCTTCTCATTCTTGTTTCTGCAGTGGCTCATGATCTTAGCCTGTGTTCATGTACTTAATTTGCGGGCTTAGTGGCGATTTGTGTTTGAGAAAGTGTCTTCATATGTTTTTGCGTTTTTTGTTTTTTTTTAATGTACAGCTGGGCACCAGTGGCTCACGCCTGTAATCCCAGCTACTCAGGAGCTGAGATCTGAGGATTGGGGGTCAGAGCCAGCCCAGGCAGCAAAGTCTTTGAGACTCTTCAGTCCAATAAACTACTCAGAAAAAGCCAGAAGTGGCGCTGGGGCTCAAGTAATAGCACTAGCTTTGAGCAAAAGAAACTCAGGGTCAGAGCCCAGGCCCAGAGTTCAAGCCCCAGGACCCTCAAAGCAAAGCAGCCTTGCCTATGTATTCAGACTATAGGCCCTTCATCAGGTAGATGGTATATTCCATGCTAGCATTGGTATTTTGCCTCGCACAGTATGGGTTATAGCAGTTTAGATTTTTATTTAGCAAGCTGATTGTTGTTCATTTGGGCTATAGATCACTTATTTATTACAATAGTCAAATGTTACAATAATAAAATAGTTAAGAATAGACAATGCGATTTGCCGATAACATTTACTATGCAAGTTTTCCATGGATGAAACTACACGTAGTTTGTAATGCACGGCCTGTCCCAGCTTTGGCCTAGAGGAAGAGGGGTGGGGTGGCGTTGCACCTCTGTACTGTGTACGGCGGGGCTGTGACCGCCCTGTGAACTTGGCTTCACATAGCTAGGTGCTGTAATTAGTCATGTCAGCTTGTGGCATACATCTGTGTGACAAACCAGAAGACAATTTTTCCTCTAATTCCTCAGAGATCAGCGTCAAGCAGACGTCACTTGGAACACCCTACAAAGCCAAGTCAGAACCCGCATTTTACCTTGATCCCTTGGTGATTTTTCTACAGGAAAGTTTGAGAAGCACAGCTTTAATAGACTTAGACTAACTAACACAATGTGAAGAGTATATATACAACCAAATCTGTAGAATTTTTATTGCCAGAAAAGCAAATTATAATCTGCATTTTGTGTTTATTAAATGCTTTGTAGTCCTTAGGTGGACATTTTAAAAATTTTTTTTTTTTTTTTTTGTCGGTCGTGGGGCTTGAACTCTGGGCCTGGGTGCTGTCCTTGTGCTCTTCAGCTCAAGGCGAGAGCACTACCGCTTGAGCCACAGAGGCACTTCTGGTTTTTTTAGTGGTTTATTGGAGATCAGAGTCTCATGGACTTTCCTGCCTGGGCTGGCTTTGAACCGCAGTCCTCAGATCTCAGCCTCCTGAGTAGCTAGGATGACAGGTGTGAGCCACCAGCGCCCAGCCAGGAGGACATTTTTGTTTTACTGAAATGATCAGTTCATTCCCCGTATGCTTGGGCTTTTAGAAGCTTGCTCTGGATCCTGGTTCATTGTAGTGATTCACTGGGTAGAGACACTCACAGTACAACATTGAAGCTCTTCTATTATGTGGCAGTCCAGCTCCTGTGGTGAGTGCTATCGATAGCCGCAGCCTCCTTCGCTGTCAGACCCTGCCGCCGCTGGCTTCTAGGCCTCTGAGCTTCGCCTCTGGCAGGCTAGTAGCCTTGGGGTTACGTACGTAACTTATCGGCCGCTGCGTGGCACTCAGAATAGTTCTTGCCTCCTGTGTGTTGCTGTCAGAGTGCAGTTGGCTTCCTCTGAAGAGGTATTTATGTTTCTCTGGCTTTTGATTACCTATACTGGCGGTACTGGAGTGTTTATTAAAGTTGATTTTAGCTCCTCCGTGGCTTGTCCGTTTATGAAGAGCTGTAACCCAAGGCACGAGGCCTTGCCCAGGTTCCTGCCACTTTCTTCTCAGGCCTGCAAGTGACCAGAGATCCTGAGCGTTCTCAGAAGCTTCTTCCAGGATCCAAGGAGGCCGCTGGGGAAGGCGGGCTGTGCCAAGTGCTGCCCTGTGCTAGTCTTAGTTCTCCTTGCTGTCTCTTAAATGCTGCTACGGAAATTTAAAATGTGTTTCCACCAAATATGATGGTATATAGCTGGAATCCCAGCAGTCAGGAAGCTGAGATCTGAGGATTGTGGTTCAAAGCCAGCCCCGGCAGGAAAGTTGTGAGACTCTTATCTCCAATGAACCACCAGAAAGCTGGAAGTGGCGCTGTGGCTCAAGTGGTAGAGCGCTAGCCTTGAGCTGAAGAGCTGAGGGACAGCGCCCAGGCCCAGAGTTCAGGTCCCATGACCAACCAAAAAAAAAAAAAAAAACCAACAACTCAGTAGGCACTCCACCACATGAGTCATGCCCCAAATCATTTTTAGTTTTAGTTATTTTTTTATATAGTTTGTTGTGGTTTTGCCCTGGCTGGCCTTGGCTCTCAATCCTCCTTCTAGGCCTCCTGTATAACGGATCACAGGCAAGTACCACCACACCCTCCTTGCTCTTTGAGGTGATGTCTCTTTTTGCTTGGTCTGGCCTTGAACCTTCCAATTTCTACCTTCCTGGTAGCAGGGCTTACAGGCACGTGCCAGTGCTCCTAGACAAGGTATTTTTTTTGGGGGACAGGGTCTTACTGTAGAACCAGGGCTAACCTCAAAGTGGCCATCCTCCACTGTAGCCTCTTGAGTGCTGGCCTTCCCTGTGAGCCTCCATGTCCAGCTCTCCTGGTTCTTGTGCAAGACTCCTTTCTCTTAACCTCCCCCCCCCTTTTTCCTTTTTCCTACACATATTCCTTATTTGTTTCTCAAGAAAATCAGAAGTGGGATTCATTTTGAAATTGGCATTCGCTGCATTGTTTTGCTGGATTTTGTCACTCTGAATAGAAGATGCGATGTAAACCTTTTTCTCAGATTTCTTTTTACATATCGTGCTCTTCTTTCACTGGATATGGTGGAGAAAATGGGAGTAGCGAGAGTCTCCATTCAGAGTGGTTTTAAAATACACTTGTTGCAGTTGTGTTTAATGGAGATGGTTGTGGACAGATGAGCATCCATGAGCTGTTCTGCCTGGAATATCCTACACTGTTTTGCATCATTGATCTTTGAAATGCTGGGTCAGAGTAAGCATCGAGAAGAGCCATATTGGCCATGTAGATATCACAAGAGATTAAAAGTCTTAAAATACACAGGAAGTTTCTGCCAGGGAGACGCTGTTGCTGTGGTGTGGACAGCCTTCCGTCAGCCCTCCAGGACTGCTGCTTCCTGGGGAGGAGGCCACGTGTTGACTGTGAACCACTGTTTTGGCACCCTGAGTTTGCCCCCAGCCGGGGGTCAGCCTTGTGAATCTGTCTGAGGATGCAGCTCTGCCTGCTCTGTTAACTCTTGGCTACAGACATGTCTAAAAGGACGCTCTGTGGAAGCCGTCCACAGACGTGTACCTCTCAGGCGCTGTGACTTCTCTCCCGATAGGTAGTGGAATGCTGATCATTTCCCGCGGGGGGCGTGTGTGGGAAGCGCAGGGTGGTGTGGGAACACTCAGCGCTGCCAGCGGGAGCGGAGAAAGCCACGCTGCGGCAGGACGCAGTCGTCCCTTATGAAAGGACAGTTCAGACGCCTCCCGAAAGTTCATACGGAGCCACCCACGTGTTCGTCAGATTTGTTTTTCTTGTGGGAGCAGTTTCTCGGAGAAAGTACTATGTAGCTAGGAATTTTGACTAAAATAGCTCAAACTAGCTAGAAAAATAATTTCTGGCCACTGTTAGAGTCAGATGGAAAAATCAGCTCTTAAAGGTGGAGTCCTTGTTTATGGGTGAGTTCAGTGACTGTCAGAAAGACTGTCCGTAGCCTGGTCATTGTACTCATCTGCTCTTAGCCAGCAAATGAGCGCTTGCGAATCGCGAGGCACACCTAGAGCCATGGATTCGTTTTGAGGTTTATCGGGTGAGCTAGGTTCCTCTTTATTCTCATACCTAGTTTATTCATGGCACTTACTCAGTAAGTTTAGTGGGTATTTTCTTCAGTCCCTGTGGTGTAGAAGACACTTTTTCCAGATGCTGGGTATGGCGATGGTTTTCTCTTGTAATCACATGGAAACATGGGCTTCGTATTAAGGAGGAGGGCTCTGAGGTACGCACATGAGCCCTCAAAGTGTCTGTTCTCTCCCCTGTGTTTAAGGTAACACTGCCCTGCATGACTGCGCGGAGTCTGGAAGCTTGGACATCATGAAGATGCTTCTTATGTACTGTGCCAAGATGGAGAAGGACGGCTACGGGATGACCCCGCTCCTCTCGGCCAGCGTGACGGGCCACACAAATATTGTGGACTTTCTGACACACCACGCCCAGACGAGCAAGACAGAGAGGATCAACGCGCTGGAGCTCCTGGGAGCCACGTTTGTAGATAAGAAAAGAGACCTTCTGGGGGCTCTGAAGTACTGGAAGAAGGCCATGACCATGCGGTACAGCGACAGGACTAATGTCATTAGTAAACCAGTGCCGCAGACGCTGATCATGGCTTACGATTACGCCAAAGAGGCCAACAGCGCTGAGGAGCTGGAGGGCCTCATCGCCGACCCCGACGAGATGCGGATGCAGGCACTGCTGATTAGGGAGCGCATCCTGGGTCCTTCTCACCCTGATACCTCCTACTACATCAGGTACAGAGGCGCCGTCTACGCCGACTCGGGGAACTTCAAGCGATGCATCAACCTGTGGAAGTATGCCCTGGACATGCAGCAGAGCAACTTGGACCCCTTGAGCCCAATGACGGCCAGCAGCTTGCTGTCCTTTGCCGAGCTGTTCTCTTTCATGCTGCAGGACCGGGCTAAAGGCCTGCTGGGCACGACGGTCACGTTTGACGATCTCATGGGCATACTGTGCAAAAGCGTCCTTGAGATCGAGCGCGCCATCAAACAAACTCAGTGTCCGGCCGACCCCCTGCAGCTGAACAAGGCCCTCTCCATCATTCTGCACCTGATCTGCCTGCTGGAGAAAGTCCCCTGCACTCTAGAACAGGACCACTTCAAGAAGCAGACCATCTACAGGTTCCTCAAGCTGCATCCCCGGGGAAAGAACAACTTCAGCCCTCTCCATCTGGCTGTGGACAAGAACACCACCTGCGTGGGGCGGTACCCGGTGTGTAAGTTCCCATCGCTGCAAGTGACGGCCATCCTAATAGAATGTGGTGCTGACGTGAACGTCCGGGACTCCGACGACAACAGTCCCCTGCACATCGCCGCCATCAACAACCACCCGGACATCATGAACCTCCTCATTAAATCAGGTGCACACTTCGATGCCACAAACCTGCACAAGCAAACGGCCAGTGACTTGCTGGATGAGAAGGAAATCGCTAAGAATCTGATCCAGCCCATCAACCACACCACGCTGCAGTGCCTGGCCGCGCGCGTCATCGTGAACCACAGGATACATTACAAAGGGCACATCCCAGAGAAGCTGGAGACCTTTGTGTCGCTCCACAGATGACGGGCACTGCCGAAGCTCCTGCACGAGCACTGTTGTGGTAACGCCCGCGTTCACTTGGCTTGATGGTGGTGTGCGCTCACTCACCGGCTAGCGCACCCACCGCAGACGTCAGACTCCACAGGATTGGCTTCCAGTATTTAATAGAAATACACCATATAATAGATTGTTTGTGAATGATCGAAACATGTAACGTCCTATTCAAATTCCTAAAACTGTCTGCCAAAGGCTTAATCCATTCTGGTTTTGTTTGCGGTTGGTATTTGGGACAGTTAGCTGGTTTTAAGTGGTGTCTTTATACTCTACTAGTCTGTGGGTTTTATACAGATTGAAAGTCCTTATCCCTGCTGTCCCTTCTCTTCCCCAAGCTTCACCCGTTTCTACTTTCTTTCCTGACCATTTCTACCAGTTTCCCCGTGCAGACCTGTGCTAGCTCACACAAACTTTTCAAACTCCTTACCATTTGCAGTTACCGTAAGTGCTTTATCTTTTCTATGCACTGGCTTACACTTGACGGTTGTACGTTAGCATCGTCCCTATGCAGCGCTTGTCAGCTTCACTGAAACCCCTGGTTTCTCCTGTTCCTTTCGAAGTTCACTCTGTGGAAGTACGCTTAGAACATGAGGATTTGCTTATCTGAGCTCAAGCTTCCCCACCCCCCAATGTTTTTATTTTCTTTTCCCCCTACACATGAGGTTTCTCTCTCTAAATCGATAGAAATGTTGTACACTAAATTTGGGAAAGGTTATGACTCAGCCCCATTGCAGAGCAGGTCTGTCCTGGCAGTCTGTCACGTGGAAGGAATACCCTTTTCCAGAGAGACTCTCCCCCCCCCCCCCCCCCCCCCCAGCTGCTCCAGCCTTGCTGCCAGCGTGGTCCTGCTCGTGCTCATGTGTGACTAGGTGTAGAGAATTTGCTTAACTTTAACTTCAAAGTTACGCATCACACAGCTGATGTCACTGGCCACATTGACATCCTCTGTCTTTGGACTGCGCTCATTTTTAGTTAGAAAAAACGCTGGCTTGGTTTTTACCGTGCCCCGGGCCCCAGAACTGCCCAGGTTTCTGCCCCATGCCGCTGTGGCACCCGATCGGTGCCAGCAATAGCGCTCTTCCCCTCTTCGAGCTGATGTACACCTTTGAGATACTTGCATGGTTACTTTGGTCTCAGTTATTGTCACCCTAGCTAAACATAAAGGTTGCACAGCGCTTTCTGTTCTTGCACTGAGAGTTAGCTTCTTTTCCACCTTTTCCGTCCTCTCTTCCTTCCTCCTCTCCTTTTCTTCCTTTTCTCCTTCTTTCTCCTATTTGCTAATGCCACAGAAAGGGCTCTATTTTAACTTAGGAAAAGAAAACTGAAAAGTACCAAAAAAAAAAAAAGACTCAGGTAATGGGCGTGCAGCACTTTATTGTTGTTGAACACAGTGGTGACGGCATGCTTGCCCTGCAGAGGGATGTAGATGGTGCATGCACAGCTCCTCCCTGCGTGGCTGGGGGTGTGGTGAACGGAGCTCGCTGGGTCTGTGTTCACTCTTGTTCTGACGTGTCCTCCCCCTGTCAGGCCGTGTCAGGTCTTGGCTGCCACACAGTCATGTAGGTTTACCTGCATTTTTATTCAGCACAGTTGGAATGAAGAGCAGTAACTAAATCCACAACCGCAGACTTTTGGGTTAAAGAACTGAGTTGTTAAAAGGTGAACTTAACTCATTTTAATAGGTTATGCATTTCACCATTGGGATAAATTGGGATAAAATGGATTACGCACCAGTGGGCGCTTTGCCACCTTTAGATGAGCAGGTTTTTACTATGGGCAAATTAAACATTTCAGCTGTGTCATATAGTAAGAATACTTTAATTTGTGATTTAGACAAACATTCTAGAAATATCACACATGAATATTTTAAGTTACCTGCCTCTAACTTGAGAGTATTGAGAGTTACATATGCATGAGCTACTTTTTTTTTTTTTTTTAAATCTTGGTCATTCTAGTTAGTCCACAGTGGTTAATCTCAGCTTGAGGGGACAAGGTGACAGTGGGGTGGGAGGGAGTTAGACTCCCCCGTCCTCTGCAGGGGTGTGGACGGCGTGCTTCCCCGTCTCCTCAGAGGAAGGCCACCTCACCTGATCCACAGGGGATCTGAACCGTGCAGTTCTGGAATACACTGTAAGGATTTCGCACCACTCTACATAGAATCAGAAGGGCTGCCGTGCCTGGGCCGGGGCTCTCCCTCCCGCGTGCTGTCTCCACAGAGCCAGCGGGAGCCTCCTGTGAAAATCAGCCGGGTTCATAGCTCAGAGTCGCCCATGGGTTATGTTAGAGGAAGCTGACTAATAAATGTGACACCAGATGCTCTTCAGTCCTTCCTTGGGAAGTTTTCTCAGAATTGTGAGAGACTTCAATTTGTGTTTTTAGAAGCCAAAGATGAGTAAATTAGATGAGCTAATTCTACTCCTTTGAGTCAAACCGTTCATTCTAGAGGGTCATATTGGCTGGAGTGAATGTGTTCCATGGTCTCGGTCATTTCTGTAGAAGTGGGTCATTCCATTCAGATGCCAGTCTGCTTGCTGAAGACACACGGATTATAGACTTAAATACAGTCATTTTTACATCTGCCCAAAGTAAGCCCAAATCAGCAAAGGTAATTTTGTCCTTGTACCCCCACTTGTAATATTTTAGAAATTCCCACTCACTGTTACTTGGGAAATTGTTTAGGGTGTATTTGGAAAAGTAGCTCTTGTTCAGCACAATCCCTAGGCTGAATAAACAGGTAGAATATCTCCTGTAACTTTCTCTCAGGATTGCAGGGTCTAGATGAGGTAATCGCGCATTCTTCCATGCAGTAACAGCAACAGTAACAATTTTGGAGCTCGATACTAAGGAACTTTGATTGGCGGTCATCTTTTTCTTGTCTTTTTTTCTTCCTCTCCCCCTCATGTATCACTAAGCACCTGGTTTCTACCCCCATTGTCAGTTCCCATTGTGTGTATTTCAAGAAGTACTGTATTCAGATGCCAGCCAAGACATTGTCACACAATGGAAAGTGATATGCCACAGCATTCATTGTAAGGTTTAATAAAAGTACATTTGCATCAAATTTAAGCGTATTCTTGTTAATTCTTTAATCGTTATTATAGAGGTGGTGTGCAGAGGGGTGACAGTTACATAAGTCAGGTAACGAGCACATTTCTTTTTGGACAGTGTCCCCCCTTCCCTCGCTCTCCCGTTTCCCACCCACAAGTTGTTAGTTCATTTTCACTAGTGTCAAGTGAGTACCACTGCTGCATTTGTTCATTTATTCCTCCAGTTCTGTGAACTCCATCAATACAAGTTTTGATAGAGAACTTGTTGACTCCTTTAGAAAAAATTGCCTACTTGGAAACTCACAGCCAAATAAGAGAACATTTATTAGTCATTCTAGTGTAAAAAAAATCTGGCTTAGCTGGATGCTAGTGGCTCATGCCTATAAACCTAGCTACTCAGGAAGCTGCGATCTGAGGATTGTGGTTTGAAGCCAGCTCGGACAGGAAAGTTTGAGACTTATCCCCAATAAACTACTCAGAAAAAGCTGTAAGTGGTGCCGTGGCTCAAGTGGTAAAGCACTAGCTTTGAGCACAGAGAGGCTCAGGAATAGCACCTAGGCCCCAAGTTCAAGCCCCAGTACCAGCAAAAAATAAACTGGTTTGTGTATGATTTATCTAAATTTTGTTTTCCTAGTAAAGACCACAGGAACTGAAGATGTGAGAGGTGCTGTGGCATGTTCTTGCTTTTTAACGTTGGGGTTCCGGAGCTGTGTAGTAACAAAAGCCTTACTGGGAGGGTAAGTTTTTTTTATTTCCAAATTTTTTATTGTGATTAAGTGGTTACATAATTTCCCAAATTTCACAGTATTGTGGGATAGTGATGCTCAGTTAAAGCCACAAACACATTCTAACTTTCCTGGAGCAAATTGTCTATCACGGTCTGTAACATGAGTTCTGTGAGCTTTGCGATACAGTTATTTCTTCCACATTGGGTGGTGTGTACATTGCTTTTGCATAGCATCAACTGTTCCCTCTTTCCCACTTGTTCCCTCCCTCCCATCGCTGCCATTGAGTTGCTTAGTTCATTTTGGTCAATGTCCTGTGCAGCTGATGGGTCCTGCTGTTGTATGTTTTTCCCTGATTCCCTCTAGTTCTGTGTCGTCTTCCTAGTAACAGAAGTGTTACCATGAGGGTAAGTCTTATATAATTGTTTCTAGTACTTGTAAATCATACATTTGGGTTTTTCCCTGGCGAATCATTTGCACACGTCATCCTGCCATCCTTTTGTGATGGCCTTTTGTGATGAGTGTAGGCCAGTCCTCTGTGGGTGTACGTGTGGGTGTGCTGTTCCCACTGCCATTACAAATACTTGACGTCCTACCAACTCTAAAAGGCATATTTAAGGATCTAAACAAAACATCTTACCCCTCAGGATACTAAATGTCTTTTTTTTTAAATCTCTGAGCTATTGGATAGACTGACAATGGTTAAGAAATTTGAGGCTTTGGAGGGGAAATGAAATAATTGATCACTGATTCCAGACTGTCATGTTACCTTATTGCATGATTATTATAGAAGATTATTTGAAAGAAAGATTTTCTCAGATTTATGCAATTATATCAGCTCAGTTGCTTTTCCTCATATGTTCAGTTCATGTGTGATTCCAAAAGTCAAGTCATCAACTTTTCTGACTTAGGAAGTTGAAAATGTGGTCAGGTGCTGGTGGCTCACTCCTTTCATCCTAGCTGATGAAAGGGGGCAGCCCGGGCAGGAAAGTCTGAGACGCTTCCCTCCAGTTAAGCACCCAAAAAAGCTGTAAGGGGGCTGTGGCTCAAGTAGTAATGTGCTACTCTTGAGAAAAGAAAGCTCAGGGGCAGCATTCAGGCCCTGAGTTCAAGCACTACACACAAAAGTTGACCATTTAAACTTGTCAAGGAAATAAAATGAGGTTAATTCACACTGTGAGGAAGGACTGGGTGGGAAGTAGTTCGGGAGCACGTGGTGGTGTGTGCTGCTGCGTACCTGCACGGCAGAGGCCATCCTTGGCCTAGGGACTTGAGGTGCTTGAGCTGTGGCTGACCCCTTCATCCTGATGGACTTGGAGTCTGCTAGCAGTCATGTGTGTGGTCTTTTTTTTTTTTTTTTTTAATCAGTCAATGGG